GCAAAATTATAAAACACAGTTGGATTTTTCAGCTGAGCTTTAAATTGATCCTGATCTTTCTTTGCAGGCATTAAAGGCCCCCCAGCATTGTTCACAGGGAGTGGGTTGTTAATTTTGGTACAGTGGCTGTCCTGTGAACTTGATTGCTTATTCACTTAACCCCAAACGCTGCAAATTGCAAGTGTTGCTGCAGTTTTAACAAACTATGGGGAGATTCTTCACCTGCTACTTGCATTTGATGTGTAATACTGTTGCAGCAGTTCAGAAGCGCACAGCTTTGCATCTCAGAGGCAGCTGTGTTTCTTGACTGTGTCTGTTGATACCTACTCACTAAAGGTAAAATGTATGAATAAATCTAATTTCCATTTTTCTCAGAGTGAGTTAAATACTTAAGCATGTAAGTCCATAACTCACTCTGGGATAAAAGATGTATTATATTAATGTAAGTTATAGGGGTGCACTGATAAAAAAATTTTTTGGCCGATACCTATGGCCAATTATTAACCAGCCATATGAGCCAATACCAATACGATAGCCGATATGCAGTCTAGCAGCTTGGAGAGCAGCATCCGGCCAGTAAATCTATGGAAGGGAAGGGGTGTGGGGAGGGAGGTCAAAGCTGCCGTGGTGAGGGAGGGAGTGGGGCTGGGGCAGGCTCTGCCTAGGTGTGGGGCAGGGCAAGGGACAGAGCCATGGGCTGCTCGTCTGGGGAGTGCTGGGGGGTGGGGTGGTGGGGGCAGCTCCCTGCTGCTGCACGCAGCCCTGGGGGTGGCATGGGGGACATATGCCCCCTGGATTTGTGCGTGAGGTGAGGGTGGGCTGCCCACTGCAGATTCGGGGCCAGGGGCTGCACTGGCCTCTTCCCAGTAAGGGCGCCTGGGTTGGGGCTGTGGTCAGGGCAGGTGGTGGTGGCACTGGGAGAGGGTGGAACTATGGCGAGGCTATGGAAAATTTTTGGGTGGCTATAGCCCCCCCTCTGTGCCACTGCTGCCTGCCCTGGCCCAGCCTTCTCTCTCTTCCCCCCCCCCCCCTCCCC